CTGAGATGTGGGAATTAAAGACTCTTCATTTTACTAAACAAAATTAGGGTGAGAGAGAAGACAAAGAGTGAATTTTGTGGTGGTGTTAAGTGAATCAGTGATAAACCATAAACCTGTTTCATCTGTCAATTTGGGATCCATAACAATGATGCAAAGTTGTTATTTATTTTGTGCAAGAGACTTTGCTCTGTGTAACATAGCTTGAGATTTCACATGGCAGAATGAAGGAATTCCATAGCTTTACATTTCTGATCCATAATGTGTGAAATTTCAAAGGTTATGTTTCATTACATGAATTTCAGGATGTAGACTTGACATTTATGGAACAAGTAGAAATCTGGGACGATGTTACTTAATGCAACCAAGTGTTACATGTCTTTGTTGATAATGACTTAATTTTTAATGTTCTCAGCATGTCACACATTTAACCTCAAATGAAAGTGGTTTTCTGCATTAATGGTTTATCTGTGTGATCCATTTTTTCATTCTGAGTTTAAAAGACGTGGGAAAGAAAAATAACAAAAAAACTTGCCGAGCAGCAGTAAAATCAGAGCACAGAGACTGACATTTTGCTTCTGGTGTTCTTTTGGGGAGGCATTTTGCCCTCATCTACAGTTATGTTTCAGTTTATATTGTTTCCTTTCATTCCTGCTTGAAAGGTGACTTTATGAGTTTTTACTGAAGACAGTCAGCCATTGTGTCACATGGGTGAAAAAGTCTGTCCTGTGTTAAGATCAACTAAACATGAAATTACTATTCTTAAGAGCATATAATGGCATTCCTGAAACCTCCAAAATACTGCTATATTCCAGCAGGGATAGAAACTCTGTGAAAAACAGAAGGAACCTTGCTCTTGTCACCTCTTTATTTTAAAAAACCCGCCTGGAATTAGAAGTTCACCGGTAATTTCATGGTGTTTTTCTTTTGCCATCTATCTTCAGAGTTTATGTTTTCTTAATTTTCATCTTTTTATTTTATTTTGAATTCTTTGGATAAAAATGGATTGATAGTTTACTTAAAGATTTTGGCAATAAAAATAACTTCATTAAACCAAATAATTATGCCAGGCACTATATAATGACCATGGCAGTGTTATTCAACAGATGGTCACAGGTTCATTTTTATGAATGGGAATACTGGGAATTCTTCATACTCATTATGTGCGAGAGATTCACAGATGTCCTTTGCAAATCTGCTTGTGAAAGGCTGGATGTAAGTATTATATTTTGATGGTAATTTTAAGAGAGCTTGTAATGTATATTACATGAACTTTCATTTCCTTTCATTTTTTTAAATTTATTTTTTGTACTAGTAGGATGGTAGCAATGTCTTACAGAATACTTCAACAGTGATCAGTTCTAGGTATTTAAAATGTGCAGCTTTTTTAACTCAAGCATTTAGCATTAAGTGATTGAATGCATTTGAAATGTAAACATAGCATCTCATTAAAGAAAAAAATTCTTTATTTAAGCTATCATATGCACTGCATGTGTTTTTTTCTAATTTGCCATAGTGAAAATGACACCTTACCATTTGGTAAAATCATCATCTTTTCTTGCAGTTCTGTAGGAGGTCCAGCTAGGAGGCTATATGTCTCTAAATATGGATGAGACGGAAAAGGCTGTGTCCGTGAAAGATGACAATGTAGTATGTGTTAGTTGCTGTTTCCGTATCTACAATGATATCTGGAACCATTTTTCTGTTGAATAAGTTACAACATTTCTCATTTTCTTCAGTGCTAGTTATAAATTTGATTTATTTGGTCATGGTGACTAGGAAAGCACTAAATTAGCTTGGCGCTCTAAAAGCTCAGTATAGCAGGCATTTGGTGCATGTTTCACTTGGAGTAATCTCATTGACTTCCCAGCTAAGTAGAATTAATCTTGGGTTACAAGATTCTTGTCTAATCCTACAGTAGTCTTGTATTCTAAAATGAATGTCCCTGAGGGTAGGTATAGAGAAGTTATAAATTTGTCCTCAGTGGAGACTACAGAGATTGTCCTTCCTTTATACTTAACTCCTTCTGGTGTTTGGCTTCCCTTATAACTGGGTATCAGTCAGCAGTTTCTCCCGCTGGGCTGGGTTGTCTTGCAAAGACTCGTCTGTCCAAAAACTTCAGATCCTGCAGCTTCAAATTCAGAGGAGAAATTACCACAAAATTGTTGTGATTAGCTGGACATATCACAAGAAGAATGTCTGCACAGAATCTCAGCCATCTCTTTACCCTGCAAATCAAATGTTACTTGTTAACTTTGTACCCTCTTCCCCCATCTTATATCTTTCATTTGACAAATGAAAAGACAGAGAGGCATGGGGAAGGTTGTATGTCTATTCTCTGTACACAGGGTAATTCACTGGTAATTCATTAATTTCATGTTAAAAGTTTTACTTAGTTTTAACGTCCATATTGTGGCGGGTTGGGTTTTGAGATTGGGTTTTTTTTGTTTAGTTTTGGGGGGGTGTTTTTTGGTTTTGTTTTTTTGTTCTACAGACTGTCCTTCAGGTATGTGTAGCTTTACTGTCAGCTTGATTTTCAGACTTCACTTGGGCCCTTTTTGGTCGTCAGTTCCTTGCGCTGTGAAACTGGAGGAGCTGGGGAAGGGACTGGCAGTGAATCAATATATGTTAGGGAAAAAGAAACCCTGAAAAACAAATGTCTGTCAAAGGGAAATGGTGTCTTTAAGGTTTTTCTTAACCCTCATATATAGAGGTGCTTAGGCTGTAGCTAGAGAAGTGTGCTGTGCCTTGAAGTAAATAGTTCTGGTAGCTTTGTCTGCTCCCAGCTGTATTTCCTCATCTAACTGTCCAGGGAGTGTCTTGCATTAGTGCATGAGTTGGCCAGTGCTTCTTGCAAATGCTGGATCAGTTGCATAAATGTGTGCTTAAGGACCACAGGGGCCCCTGCCAGTAGCAGAAAAGAAGGTAAGTGGTGCTCCTGACAAATGTTGGGTACCGCTGCCCTCACTCCAGCAGCACGTGTGTCACCGGAGGTGTACAAACACTGCGTGCCTGTCACTGGTGGTGGATACACTGCTGGTTCCTTTCTCTCCTTCATGGGAGTTCAGTCTAAGCGCTGAAAATCAACTGTGAGGCTTGACAAAGAATCTGCCTTTGCCACAGTGGCAGTATAAATCATTAAAATGGTGTTTCTCTATGGATGCTGGCCGCAAGGCTATGAAACCTTGGTGAGAGGTGGAAGTTGTCTTGGAAAGTCAGGAGGAGGCAGGAGGACAACATGGGGCATTGTTTGGGCTCTAGCCATTTGCCTTGGGTGGAGGAAATGAGGATGACATGAGGCAAATCAGTCTGTGGGGCACCATAATATGAAGCTGTGGTTATATTGGTGTATTGGTGGTGCAGACATTGCCAGTCTTTTTAGTTATTTTTTGATGAACTGTTTCCCACTGTCTCCATGGTATTACTGTTAATTAAGGGTCACCTGATTTGACACTTAGGTTTGCAGCATCATTTTTTGAATTTTGAGGAATTTTTGAGAAGTGTTAACACTTTAGAATTTTCTGTCCACAAGTCTGACTATGCTTGCTCGATACCAGTATGAAATTTCTGTCTCAAAAATGTTTGAAGTATCAGCTGTTCTTTATGTCTTTCTGCTGCTTCTTTGGTTCAGTGCAGATCTGACCAGCTTCCTCTCTTTGTTTGACTTCAAGTGTTCTAATTTGCTTTTTATTGCACAGTGCTTACATGTCCTTTCAGAAGTACAATAAAATGGGTTAATCCATGAAATAGCTTCTATGTGGCCTGGTGTATTTTACGTTGTGTAGAGTGTTATTTAGAGGAATAGACCAGTATCGATTTCTTTCTTCTCAGAGGTTTTTTCCCCTATTATTTAGCTATGTGAACAATTTGGAAAGGTATTACAATCCATTAAAGTTACAGACTTAAACCTTATAGGGCATCATTCATTCATGCTCATAAACCTATTGGGATAATTCATATCAAATATGTACCTTGTTGATATGGTATTACTTTAATAAATCCCCCAAGTTCGTAACATAAATCACAGTTGTAAAAATAGAGTGCACAGTAAGAATGGAGAAAAATAGACAGGAGGCTAGGAGAAGTCTGTGTTAAGCCCAGCCCATTCTGATTAATTCCAGAATTTTAATGTTTGCAGATGTATTAATAGGCAGGTATTCATATTTTTATGTTTTAAGACCTTATGAATGAGATATCATTTTCCATATAAAACAGTCTGATGGGTATTTGCTATTTCTAATCTGTAGATATTTTATATTACATTATCAGCCCTGTATTTGATACATTTATGAAACACAAAGCACTACCATTTGTAGAGATTTATTCATGTATCATTTTCCCCCAGATTTGCCAGAACACCATCATGTTCGTGTTCTGAAGGTTAATGCCCAAAGTCAAACAGACAGAAGCCAAATGCTGCAAGGTTTCCAAGATTAGGACTGATTCCCTTCACAAAAATAAATGATTCCTGCCATGTTCAGTGATTTTGTGCAGCACTACTCACGGCTGAGTGAGTGCATCAATACTGTAGTCCTTACATGCTGTACATACTGATGACACTCTGTGTTAACTTGATTGACTGAGCAGTATACTGGAGAGGATGCACCTGCGAGAGATGTGTAGACATATATATTTTTATTCTGGTTTTGAAACATTTTGGGTTTACTTTTTTTTTTGGAAGGCTTAATTTCACATTTCATGGGTTATCACGATGTGCTGTTAAGGTAGAGCAAACAGTTACGTGCTTCTTTGTTGTCAAAACTGGATTGGAAAATGATCTAAGGTGCATCTTCTTTCTCTATTAAAAAAAGGAGAAAAAGCCTGATTTTGTATCTTAAAAGAAAATGACAAAAGGGGACGAGTGTGAAGTCTGGCAAGTCAGTAGCTGTGTAAATTATGCTTATTTTAAGGGATTCAATTTAATGGTAGAGAAATATCATGTGTAATTCACTTATAAGCATTATTTTTTGCTACAGTTTTATGTTTTGTTATCGTTTTTGTAGGCTTTGAGACAACAGCAGAAAAGAAGAAATGGAGTCTCAATGATGGTAAACAAGACTGTTCCTCGTGTTGTTTTGACACCATTAAAGGTGTCCGATGAGCAGTCGGATTCACCTTCAGGTAAATAGCTAAAGGACCATTTGCAAGATCAGCTCTAGTCACAGAGCCTTCCTCTGAATCAGATGAGTAGCACAGAGAATTTGGAATTGCTGAAATACTATTTCCACTGGGTGGCTTTGTTTAACATATTTTATTTCCTTATCAAGACTCGTGTCTCAAGGATGGAGATTTTTCTTTAATAAAGAGCTGAAGGCACACAGTAAAATGACAATTGGTAATAGCAGCAGCTTTAAAGGAATGCAAAGTAACATTTTGTTTGGCTCTGGAGCTCTAATGGAGGACCACATGCTGGTATTCAATGCCATAAAAACGGGGGGGGGGAAAGGCAAGCTTCTCTGTGAATGTGAATTTGTGTCTCAGTTCTGCATTGCAATACTCAAATCCTTTTGTCAGCTTTTCTTCTTGTACCATGCTTATTATCACTGCAGCATAACCTTGACCTTTAGCTCTGGTGGTTAAGTTGCTTCATTTTAAGAGATTTCTGCGTCTGTGTTTAACACAAATTGACAACTGTATTTCCAAACATCTATTTTCTTTAAATGTTTCTTCAAAAAGAAATTTTCTTTTTTTCAGCCTTGGGTTGCTTTACTGCCCCATAACTTACGGTTAAAATATTTTTAAAAATATCTCCTGGACGTTATAGAACTATGTTATTTTTATTAGATCACTGAACATTTTTATTGACTGCAGTGTTCAGTAAACGTTAGTTTTCAGCACTTAATTGATTTATTGAGCTTTTACTTCCAATTCCTCTGATGAGGAGGAATTGTATTGTGACCAGAAAAGTATATTGCCTTTCAGCAAGAAAATGTCAATTTTTTGAAAATCCTATTTTTGTTTTGTTTACGATGTAGAGGGTGCTGAGGGGGATTATTAGTAACTAAGTGCAAAAGCATCATATTTGAGGGATTTTATTTTTTTTCAAAGGATCGGAATCTAAAAATGGTGAAGCAGATGGTTCTGATAAGGAGATGAAACATGGGCAAAAGTCTCCAACTGGAAAGCAAACAAGCCAGCACTTAAAGAGGTTAAAAAAATCTGGTTTAGGTGAGTAGGAGTAAAATAAATATCTTACTTGTAATACTGATATTTTTCTAAACTCTGTGTTCTCTTGGAAAGTTTTATTTTTCTGTTTACCTGTCCCTTTTTCAAACTCAGCAGCTGATCCTTTCTCAAGAAGACATCTTTCTGTCTACCTGGAAAATCCCTGGTCAGTTTTTTTTTTCATCCTCAGTGGTTGCTTTTTAAAGTTTAACAGACCTAAGCAATTTCTGGCAGAGTGGTGATTTAGCAATTAGATTCTGATTGTTATGTAATGATTTTTTGGGGGATGGGGTCAGTATGTAACAGATATTCTTTCTTCATGGTGAATTTGCCTACCTAATGTGCCTTTATTCCCAGAGATAGTAGCATATTTGCTTACGTGCTTGCCCAATTAGAAGTTAACATTCTCTTTTCTTGGTTTGCATTATTACATGTGATATAGAGATTTGGCATAAAAGTTTTGGTTGGTTGTTCTTCTTTGGTTGATTTAGTCCTTCAGTTGGATCTGTAACTATTTCGAAGCTACATCTCTTGAGGTGGTAGATACAGTTTCTGGTTATATTTTCTGTGGGTTTTTTAGTGAGGTCCATGGATCACTTTCTGTAATTAACAAAGAATTTTTCTCTGAAGTGATGCTAAGGGTAAATTCTAAATCTCCATGTCATATGCAGATTTTCCTGCTCTGCATGAAATTTAATTGGAAAAGTTCCCTAGGGAGTACAAAATGTAGTGTTCACTAAGACTCTTGTCTCTGCTTAAGTGAAGTCAAAGAATGACATAACTTTCTTTATCTTTACAAAGTACTTCTTGCATTCAGCAAAATGCTGAGTCATTTAGAGAAGTGTTTTGTAATGTGGCCATGTTGGAAAAGCTAACAAACAAGCTTTTTGTAGTGGCTAAATCCCAGAAGTAATATTATGTCTATCTTTGTGGGGATAAGATTGTTTATTAGTCTTATAAAATTCTTTATTAATCTTCCAGCCTAGTCCTATTTTTATATATAATGATCCTGTAAAATAGCTCCAAGGCACTTTACTTCCTAAATGCCATAGAGCTGTTAAATGTGCTATTGCCAGTTCCTGGCAGTATAACCTATAAGCCTTATTGTATCACAGCCTCCCATGAAAGTGTACTTTGGTTTCATACATGATCTTTCTGCAGATTTATCAATCAGTCCCATGTGGATAGCTAGTTCTCTATGTTGATCCAACATCATTATGCAAAATAGACAATGTTCCTTCACTATTACAGCTTTTGATATGCAAAGTTATATTCAAGGTTAGATTATTTCCTGTGATTTTTCTCTACATTTAAGACTGAGATACATAATTTCAAGTATATGTTCTTCTCCATCTTCAGATACGACCTCAATTGTTTGCTCATGGTATCAAATGAATTAATTAGGGTTTTTTGGTGGATTTTGGAAATAAATCTACTGCCCTTTTGGGGCACCACACATGAAGTGTGGGGAACTTTGTATAAGGTTTAAGGGTTTCTGTTCTTGTATCTATTGAAATGCTTCTCACATGACACGACATTTCTTGGCATGCTAAAAGTGCAGAGCAGCTTTGAGAATAGGTCTAGGGTCCTGTATTATATAGTGCACAATTCAGGTCCAGATACTGTTTGATTGTCTGAAAATCTGATGATCTGCCCAACATTCACTACATGTTGTGTTTAGTTGACTTTCTGAGCTCTGATTAAATAAGATTACTTTTTTTTCCATTTCAGTTAACAGATTCTGCCAACTGTGTGATTTCTGTCCTTTTTCTGTTTTCATTTCTATATCTTTATGTAGACCCATGGTGCTCCCATCTCCTTATGGTTAATTCTCTGTGTTGAGGAATAAACTCTTAATTTCCAAGGCTGCAAGCCTGAATTTCTTTCTTGTCTTACAGCTTCTATTTCTGATCTGGACAGTGATGCCCCTGAACTATATAAGGATTCAAAATGTCTTTCTCTGTGGAAAACAACATAAAAAAATATTGGCACATGTTTTGTCATAAACTCTTATCAGAGCTATGATTAGTGATGCAGTAGTGTCATACTTCCATGCTGCTCCCAAATACTTCACTAAATTTTATTACAAACTTGGGATCTGCTATACAGAACCTAAATTAGCCACAGGAAGGGTGTGGGAGAGAGAATTTGTTGTTTTTCTGAACAGATTTTGAGGGTTTTTTTAACGTAGGACTGTGGTGGGCACCCACAGTATGCTATTGGCCTATAACCAATGCACACATTTCTTCCAGAAGCTGACAAAACCCCCATAGTACTCTGTAAGTGATAGCAGGTCAAATAAATCAGAAAATGTAGATTTGACTCTCTGTCTTGGGCTTTTCATGCTGTGAGAATATCTGCCACTGAAGGATGTTACTGATTTTGCAGTCATGTCTTATTTCAGTTCGGGTTATCTTTGTGTGTATGCCTTCCCATAGGATATGAAGCTCTAGCTGGAGAAAATGTTACTCTAATTTGGAGTCACTTAGAAGATGGGGATATGTATTTTGTATTGATTAAAAAAAAGAATATACATACAGGCATTAAAATTCAGTACATCATACAACTTGTGTTACACTCAGGGATTGTGTTCTTTTTACATTTATATTTAGTGGGTGGAACAGATGGTGAGGATAGTTTATTGTGATGCATTCATGAAAATGGGCACTTCTTCCATGCAATTGTCCTGTATAACAGGGCATTCATTTGTTGGTAATAGAGTCTTTGCTGTACTGAAATAGACTTTGTTAGAAAAATGTGTTGGAAAAGGTTATCCTGTGCTGAGTGCAAAGTAGATCTTGTCTCATTCAGTTACTATCAGTTGCTGAAAAATGAAATAAAATTACAAGAATGTTTACAGGAGGCTGTGACTGAAATGAAGCTTTTAGAATTTAGAAATCTTCATTTTCTTGCATATGTATTTTTTGTAGTTAGAGACTTTCAGGGAAGAGAGCACCATAGGTCCTCTAAGAAATCCAAAGCATAGTTACATTCCTTCTATTGTGATTACTGTTAAGTGGCTTGTAGCATTTGAGACATTCCTAATAATCAGTATTCCCAAATGTTCTCATTTTTAAAACATATTTAATCTTCTTAACGTGTCAGTTTTAATTGTTGCTGAGAGGTCCTATGTAAATGCCAAATGCCATCATTCATCATAGCAATGGAATAATCTTTAAATCACTTTTTTTAGGGATTCTGATGGAGTTTGTGTTTTATATAGTTCAGACTCCTCTTACACCGTTTTTGAAATATTTGAAAGTACAACAAACTGAAACCTGAAGAAGTTTCCTGGGAGGAGTTAGAAGCTTTTGAGTTTTTCCAGACACCTGGACTTTGATATGTTAAGACTTAGAGGAAAAAAAGGATTGTAGCAGTATACAAATACCTTGAAGCAGATGGCTCTTTAAAAAACTTTAAAAAATATTTTCTAAATATTATCCTAGAAATACTAACAAAATCAGAGCAGACAGGTTCTCCAGTAGTCATCTAATTTGTTCATCAGTCATAGGTCAAAATCAGATATGCATCTGCCATTACTGTCAGATATTTGTCTAACATACTCTTAAAAGATTTTGATGGAGACTGTAATACCTCACTATGGATTTAATTCAACATCTCATTGTTCTTGGTGATTGAAAGCTTTCTTTTCTCAGTATCTTAACAGATGTATTTCTTACTGTGCAAGAGTTTAAGTTGATAGCCTTTCTGTCCACTGTGTAAAGTAAGAAGACATTATTCTGTATTGCTGTGCATGAGCCATATGTTTATTTCCCTTTCCCTCTGCTGAGTTTTTGTCTTACTCCTGTAAGAGTAAGACTCTTGTATCCTTCCTCACATACCTTGTTTATTAATCTCACAATTCCTGCTGCTGCCTTCTGTGTTTTGATCATTTTAGGTCTTAGTTCTTTGGAAAATTCTGAAAAATTCTTTTGTTTTTTGTTCTTAATGTTTTCAAACATTAGCATATTAAATAGTCTCATCTCTTTGATCACTCCCTATTCACTCAGGTTTTAGCAGGTGCAATGGGACAAGTTCTGTAGGCCATAGGGCGCTGCTGATGGCAAAAGAGAAGCTGTCCATAATTATTGATTCACATCAGCCTCATCAAGCAGCCTTTTGCTTGAAAATAGGTGCTTATATTGTTGATGACATGACAGGATTATTTTCTGTGGCTGTTGAGTTGGCGTCAAGCTAGAAGTAAGAATATGTCACCTGTGATGTTTACTGGAACATAAGAGCTCAAGAGACAAATGCATTTTGTCTCTTTATTATAAAATAGAAATACTTTATCTTCAGGAGACAAATATAAAATATTTTTTATTATTATACAAATATAAAAGATGTTAAGACATCTAGAAAAGGCTGTGTTACCCTTCTCATAGTACCATTGCTCTAGAGCTTATTGTATTATACAGTAAAAGCTAAAAACTTAAAAAGAAGACTTGTTCCTACTCTCTTTTTTTATTTATGATTAAAGTTATTTCTGTTTATTTACTCCAGGACATTTGAAATGGACCAAAGCTGAGGATATTGACATAGAAACACCGGGATCTATTCTAGTGAACACTAACCTGAGGGCTTTAATAAATAAACACACCTTTGCTTCTTTACCTCAGCATTTTCAACAATACCTCCTGCTTTTGCTTCCAGAAGTAGACAGGCAGGTAAGTAGCATCATAAAATATTTCTGTTTTTAATGAGACTTTTTTACAGCATGTTTGCATAGGCTGATTTGACTGACTAGGAATCGTTCCAGGAAAGAATTAGAAAATCTCTATGCTTTCTTAGGTAAAAGTGTTAGATGTAGAATGACTGTGATGGTCTGTGAAAACCATCTCCTGCTTCTTTGCTTCCTGAAAACTCTGCAGGTCCCTGATTTGTCTGAATGGAAACTGGGCAGCAAATCTTTCAAACTTGCCAAATCACTTAATTAGCTTTTCTACCTATGGTGTTGAAGATAAACTTCTCATTCTCAAGACTTTCTTTATTTTGAGTCTCTTTTCACCTGTGATCTTTCTTGGTGCTCTGCCAGCAATGTCCAGGTCAACATTAGTCAATTAGTCAGTGTTTGTTCTCCTGCTCTTCATCTTTTGCACAAGCCTACATGAGCTCTCTCAGCTCCAGTGCACTGAATCTATTTGTTCACACCTTTTATAAGGAATATCTTCTCCAGAGCTTATGACTGTGTGCTCAGATCTGTTGAGTCTGGAAATAAAATTTCAGTTTTGTGATCTTTCATACAATGTCTGGTCCTTCCTGCATTTGTTGGTCAGATTGCAGGATTTCTTAGAGAGAGAAAATAAGGTCTTTCTAGCATGTCTAGTAGTTAAAATAGATAAGAGATTTTATTTACTCACTTGCCTCACTTAGGGATTCAAACAGTCTCACCAGTTTCAATGGGGAATACTTACGTACTTAATTCAGACTCATTAACTTACACAAATAGGACATTATATTTTTTGCAGATGGTCAGTATCCCTCTGTTAATGTAGTAACTAGAGAATGCAGATTTCTTAAATGAGTAATTAAAATCTGCATCTTAAACCAGTATTTCATTTCAGTATTGCAGGTTTTATTTCTTAAACTGTTTGTTAGTAGTTAGTACACCCCTAAAGCATGGAGAATAAGTGCAATGAGACATAAAAAGAGAAAAAAATAGTATTAATGTACATTTACTCAGCCTGTTATCAAATTAGATACTGTATGTAGCGGACCACAATTCTGCATTTAATAACAGAATACTTAAAAAAGAACATCAGAACAAGATCCATAGGAGAAACAATATAAATGTATTTATTCTCAAGCTTCCACAATGCAGTCAAATTCAATATTGACAAGTTTTAAGAAAAGTTTTTTTTCCCTGCAGTCAAGCAGATTTTAACTTAGTATCCAGCAAATATTTTTTCTGATAGTTTTGATTTTTTGTTCTCTTTCTAGTTAATTCATCAGAAAAGATTTAAAAAAATGTACTAGGTAAAATCATGTTTTCTCTCCAACCATCAAAGACCCAATGTTCATAAATTGCATTTGAAGTGTGGAGTCTTTATTTAGAAGTTTCATACTTTTGAATTTATTTTTAAAAATGGAGTATCTACAACTGACAAGCCACTTACCTTCTTATCAGTGTTCTTACAGCAGAGTTTTTTGGCAAGGAAATCAAGAGAATATTTTTTTGAATTTAAACATGCCTCACAAGTTAAAAGCAGTGCATTTTTTGTCACTTTTATTTCAAAAACCATTCACATAATGCATGTAATATGTTATTTCAGAGGCCCAACACTGCATAATTGGACACTGTTACTTCACAAGCAAATTTTGTGATGAGATATTTGCAGGTGTCCTTCTGTCTGTCATCTTCTCTCAGCATTCTGTGGGTTTGTGTAGCATTCCAGGTTTTCACCTGCATTTGGAAGGCAGGAGTCACCAGTCATCTCTGGAAGTTTAATGGAAATGTTTGGCCTCTAAGTGTGAAACTTCGAAAATTCTTTTCTGGTGGAGAGTGGAATAGCCCTGAACCCTCTCTTTGCAGAAGTCTTGGCAGAGAAAGAAATGTGTTTCTTTTCTTGATATCTGAGAATATGTCCTCAGCTATGCCTGAAGGGTGGCATCCCAGATACAGACTGATGAAAACAATTGAAATGAAGTTCTTTTCCTTCCTGTGGCAGGTGTAAAATGCCAGTGTAGTGCTCAAGGATCAAATAAAACGATAGAGGATTTTATCAGGGAGTTCTGGTAGGAGTCTCTGCTGTTGGTCATTCTGACAGAGCAAGGCGAGAGTATTCAGTTTTCCTCTTTTCCTCTTTTATTTCTACTTTCTAAATCAAATGGGGCATCAGGCAAGCAATACTATTATTTGAGTTAGCTACACATCTCTTGGGGTTCAGTTTTATTGTTTTATATTGGCCTTTCCTTGATTCATTTGAAAATTCTTATTTTGCTCTTCTGGCTCAGAAGCGTTTCCTCCCTGTGTGCTGCTCTGCAGTTGGCTGCAGTTGTCTTCCCCAGAGAAAGCTGCATTTCTGTGTTGCCATGTGGATGTAGTATGTGAAGTACTGTAATAAATGGCACTATAAAAATGTAATAGAGTTATGCTATTTGTGTATATATAGTGATCTGTGAAATAAATTACTAATGAAGTGCAGTTTCATTTAGGCTTTATTACTGCTTCACATAGAAAAACCCCATGATGAATGATTCTTTGTCATTTCTGTCATAAACACCATTTTTCTGGGTGGTATAACTCCTCCTCCTTAAATCGTATTCAGCCAAAACTTGTCATGCATGTGTCACTTTGAATAAGCATTTTTAGAAACCATTAGTTAAGGGAGTTGGGGTTTTCTGGGTTTTTGTGTGCAAGTGTTTATTATAAATAAATTACTTCTGTCTCAACCTTGGTTAGTCTAATGTGTTCAAGAAAAGTTCAGGGACAAGTTAGGAGCTTGTTGGGATGTGTTTTTCTGATCTTTTTTTTCATTCTCAAGTGTTGTGGTTGCTATCAGGCAGCTGTTGGAGTCCATGGAACAGAAAGCCTTAGGAAAGATGTCCCAGAATAGAAGAAGTCAAGAACAATTCTTCTGATGTTCATGCTGTCCCTACTCCAGCTAGATATTTGACGAAGAGGAAGAATAGGGTCATTGCCTTTTTTTTCCCCTTGGGAAAAGATAAATTGTATCATGAGTTATAATTACAATTTAAATTGATTTCGGCTTACATATTAGTTTAAATTCTATTTCAGTCGCAATGAGTCCTTCGTGTAATTTTCTGTATTAAAAGAAGTTGGAGCAAGTTGGCAGTTAAGGTAGATGCATTTTATCAAGGATTTTATTTGTTTTGGTTTGGGATCAGAGAGAATAAGTATGTAGACATTGTTCAAATTATAGAAACAAAGAATGTCCTGAGTTGGAAGGAACCCATGAGGATCATCCAGTCAAGCTTCTCACCCTGCACAGGGCAGCGCCAAGAATCACACGATGTGCATTGTCCAAATGCTTCTTAAACTCTCCCAGGCTTGGTGCTGTGACCACTTCCCTGGGAAGCCTGTTCCAGTGCCCAGCCACCCTCTGGGTGAAGAACCTTTCTCAAATATCCAACTTAAACCTCCCCTGACACAACTTCAGGCCATTCCCTCAGGTCCTGTCACTGGGCACCACAGAGAAGAGGTCAGTACCTGAGAAGCAGCCATGTCCCAGACCTGTCTGTTTAGCAGACTGCTTCAAAATCTTGCATCGCTGGACACTGGGAACTTCATGGCTGCAATTTGAACATTCAGATTTTCAGCTCTTCATTAGTCTGTATGGATTCAAAGACTCAAAATCCTTGAAGATCAGCTGATAGAGAAGCCTGTTGGGTGACTCCCTGGTAGACTTGTATGACTGAGCTGGAAATATAGAAAACATGCAGTATAGAAACTATATGGAAAGAAAAGTTTCTGCACAAGAGATTTCAGTTTTCACAAATTCCAGCAAAGTATTTTGCTTTACAGCTCTAATTAGAACATTGTACAATGCTAAAGAACAATGGATTTTTCTTCAAATACCTACTTCCAACATTGATACATCAAGCTGATCATTACATGTGACAGAAGCCTTCTTGACTGCCTCTCAGCAAATACTCACCTTCAAAGCAGGAAGTTTCTCTGTGTATCTAGATTGCTGTATGGCATCAGTGAGTCTTTAAATATTAATTGAACAATGTGTATTGTGCAAGGATGGGTTAAAGGTCTGTACAACAGGTTGCTGGAAATGAAGGGCAGTTGGCAGTGTTGTGTCTACACCAGCTTTCCTTGTTGGTGCTACTGGGAAGTGAAATTCCTACACTTAACACTGGGGAATGGGCAAAAGGAAGGGAAACACACCCACTTACTTAGCTTCCAAAAACAGAAGTGTAACATTATCTGAAGAGTAACAGAAAGCTGAAGTGATTTTACTAATACTTAGAGAGCTAAACAAAAATGTTCCTTCCTGAGTGCTCTGAAAAAAAAAGTGTGTCTTTCCAGACTCCATGACTGCCTAACACCTTTCTGATCTTTGAAAATTTTACTCTGTCTTGCATTTTCTCTTCTGGTAATACTGGGCTCTTTTCAGTCTCTTGTGATTTGCACTTGCCTTGCCCTTTCACACAGAATGTGAATTTCTTCCTACAAAAATACTTCAAAGCCTCCTCAGACGTGTGTGTTAAGTAGCACTGCCATTTTATCAGACCACATCTGTTCTGGAAGAGCATTTAAAACAGTAGACGAAATCACAGTAAAGGTTATATCTTGTCTCAGCTTTACTTGTTTAATGAAAGAAATTTGCAATTATCTATATTTTATCTACAATTTATAGATAGTCAAGTTAGTTACTTAAATTTAAAACTTCAGTATTCTTAAGAAATAACTTAAGATGTGTAGTATTGCAAAAGGTCTTGTAAATATTTCAGGTTTGTAGCAGGTAAGTGTACTGAAAAAAAACCCCATGATGTACAATTCAAAGGATTCTAAAATGGGTCAAAACCAACTTTATTCTCTTTCTTTTAATTTCTAAATCAGAGAATCCCAAAATAATTATTTTCTGTTGGGTGAGTGCTAGTATTGATATGCAATCACATCACAGCATCCTTTTATTTTAAGGACAGTGCAGGTTCTGTGTTTCTGTCTTGGCCTGTTCATTTTAGGTTGGTGCAG